ATCTTCCAGGTCGCTTGCCAGTCCCCGCTTTGGAGGGCCCCGCTTTCCATTTGCCAAACATCTTACAACGCCCACCCCCAACCTCGCCCTTCTCCCTCCCTCCCTCTTAGGGCTCCTGTGGAGTGGAAAACCTGCCCTCCCCACCTCTGACAATGAGTGGTCTGGCCCTTAATGGCAGGGCCCCAGGGTGTGTGATTGCGTGTATGTACACCCAACCATGTGTACGTGCATGTGAGCCATGTGCCACTGTACTCAGAGGGAAAAGAAACACTGGCCGTGCCTCTATGGGGATCCTGGTCTCTGTCTTCATATATATCCCCTCATCAAACTGATACGCATTTTACTACAGGGGTAAGACAAGAGTGTCCTGGAGCATACACAGATTCTCTCGCTTCTGTCCCAGCGATCAGCCCTACCAGCCACCCCACCCCCAGGTTAGGCGTCCAACCTCCAGGTGGGGCCTGGAGACATCCAGGAATTGCAGCTCAGCTCCAGACTAAAGAGAGCAGTTCCCATGGAGAAAACGGCATTATACACTGCTGAGGTCCTTCCCCAAACCCAGCGGCTCTGTCCATTGGGAAGAAAACGCTTTAGCAGACAGCAGCCGTGGCCTGAGATCACTCCACATCCCCCCCAGTGAGACGGAGATGCCTTTGCGAGAAGTCCGGTGCAGTCAGGGAAAACACTCCCCTGCGTTAACTTCTTTACCAGGGACAAAGGCCTGTCGAGAGACGGCGGATTCCTTTAATGCAGCCTCTTTCTCGCCTGCCTTCCTCTGGCAGTGGCCTTTGGGGGGAAAAGAAATCAATGCCACCGGGGAGGCTGACAAATATACAGCCCAAGTGAGTCAAAGCAGCCGTGCGGAACCGGCAAAACAGAACGGGCAGAGGCGGGCAATGGGAACCTCGGGAGGGGGATTCCCAGGCCGAGGGGGCTGCATTCGGGTGTGCAAAAGCACGTGTGGCGGCTCCTCAACATTCTGCCCCCGGTTGTGCCAGAGGAGATGCATCACATACCTCAGGAAGCTGCCTTGTACTGAGTCAGACCCTGGGTCCATCAAAGTCAGTGTTGTCTGGCAGCAGCTCTCCCTGGGATCTCAGGCCAAGGTCTTTCATATCAGCCTCTCCCTGACCCCTTTGACTGGACATGCCAGGGATTGGACCAGGGTCCTTCTGCAGGGCAAGCAGAGGCTCTGCCACTGACTCTCCCCTGCTCCACCACCCTCCTTTCGGAATATTACTTGTCTTCTCAAGACTCCCTTTCAGTTCGGCAGATTTTGTCTCGACGAGGGATCTTTGCCATCAGCAAAATTTCAATGCGCACTGCATCAGTGGATCTTACCTGGCAGGGAGCTCTGATTTAGCTGTTGATTTTTCAGTTACTTTGGGGGGGGGGTGAAGCAGAGGGGACAATGAATTAGAGTTCCCGTGTACTTGAGGGAGTGGGGAAAGAGGGGAGTTTGTCTTGCAGAAGTCTCACTGCAAGGTTTCCTTTCTGCTAACAGGCTGGACTCCCAGGCTTAGCCCTGAGTGCACAGAGATCTGGACAGACTCGGAGGCAGGGCCATGCTTAGAACAGCTCTGTATCCCCTTCTCTACGCACACGAGCAGAAGCCGTCCAGCTCTGGGGCACAAAAGCAGCACCAGTCAGAGAAGAGCAGGTTCTCCATCTTCCACATGAACATGTGAAGCTGCCGTACACTGAATCAGACCACTGGTCCATCAGGGTCAATATTGTCTATGCAGACTTGCTGTAGCAGGGGGGAAAACTGACACTAGAAATTTAAGTAAGCACCCTTCCATCCACTCACTGATGTTTGCCTTTAATTAGATTGTTTTAAAGTGTTTTACATTGGAGATTTTTATTAATGTTATACGGGGTTAAACAAAATGATGCGCAGGTTCTCCATCTTCCACATGAACACGTGAAGCTGCCTTAGACTGAATCAGACCACTGGTCCATCAGGGTCAATATTGTCCACGCAGACTTGTTGTGGCAGTTTTCACACCACCTCCTGCTTTGTCTGTTTAACTGGAGATGCTGGGGACTGAACCTGGGACCTTCTGCACGCCACCAGAAGCTCTGCCACTGTGCCACGGCCCCTCCCACATTCCTCAGCTGTTCCAGAATGTCTCTCTGTGCAATACTCCCATCCTCCTTAATTTAGTTTCACAAGGAGAATTTCTAAAATTAATCCCAGAATTGGACTGTGTGCAACTGCACGTAGCTTTCTGGTCCTTCTGTGGATTTGCATCTCTTTTCTGGTGCATGCTTGTATAGTGATAAAATACTCCCTCCCCCCATCCCCAGCAACCTTGGACATGCACAGGATTGCACTAGGATTATTAGGTTGTGTGTGTCATCTTCTGTTGACGTGCACTTGCGTTTCTGCACATTGGCAAAACACCACGGAAAAGAACCTGAATGCAGTTCTACGTAGAAGAGTTAGGTTCAAGATCAATGGCACCTTAGAGACCAACAAGGGTGTCAGGATATAAGCTTTTGAGAGTAGAAGCTTCAACTCTCGAAAGCATATACCCTGAAACCCTAGTTGGTCTCAGAGATGCTACTGTTCTATTGGATCTAGCAGTTATACCCCCTGAAACAGTTCAGTCTCCTCAAGGATTCCCATTTGAAAGTGCACCCATGTGCACCCATAATACAGAGGAAGTGAAGGGCGCAAAATGTGCTACAGGACCAGAAGGTGGTGGCGGTGCATGCACAGCGCACTGTACAATTTTAGGAAATAAGCAAGAAAATCAGTGGAGAATTCTAAATGCAATGGTCCCATTTTGGAAACTAAACCGCGTCATGCGGAATTCCCAAATCCAGGGAGGGATCTGGAGAAGGAGTCATTCAGAAGTATCCCGAGTGAACATCAACAGGAAAGAGACCTCAGAGAAATAAATTCTGACGGCACCTCCAAAATATTGTTATTGTCGGAAGAGGGCAGGAAAGGGGGGGGGGAACAGTTCAGCATGGGGACTCTCAGCATGATGCGACTTCGGGGGGGGGGCACTGGGCTCTTGTGGAAGCTTTGCAGAAACAAAATAACGTGTTATGATTTGATTATAGCATGCAGTGCTAGACAGAAGCCCAAAGAACAAGGGAGAGGGAAAAGACCTTGCCTTGAGGAGCTAGCAATCAGAACTGAGACGCTGTAGTTGAGGTGCGCAGCACCACCCTTTCTTTCTCTACCAAAGAGCCCAGGATCTGGCCAGGTTGGCTACCAGGACCAGGGGGTGACCAGCCTGGGACATCATTCTGCCAGAGACCTTGGAGAGCCACCCAGCATAGACAGGAATGTGGAATGTATGACAGCTTCATGAGATTGTGTCCGTTTGTTTTTTAATTGCAATTGATTCTCCATGAGCACATCTTTCCTGGAGAAGCCCTTCTGGGGTGTGACTAACCTCTCCCAAGTGGGGTGGCGAGAGGGGATTTGGGTTTTCGGTAGTGGATCTGTACCATACGTCAAGATCCAGTAAATCCCGAATGGTGCCTCTGAGGGTACAGCAGAGAAATCTTGTCTTTTATGAGCATGGGCTATGTTCATGCTCCAGTATTATCTCTCCCAATGTATACAGCGATGCTGTTGACTCAAAGAATCATCACTGTGAAGGGGAGAGCAAGGGGACTGCACACCACTTAGAGCGATAGCCATTTGGTGGATAAAGTGGTATTTGCACACCACTTATAGAGATAGCCACTTGGTGGATAAAACCAGCCAGCTAGCTGGCCTTTGGCCAAGGGGACATTTGGATGGAGCTTGAAACAGGGAGGGTAGACAGAGTTCCCCGCAGCCTGCCTGAAACTATTTTTCTGCTTCCAGGTAGGAAACAGCCCTGTCTCCCCCTTGGAAGATGGACCTTCAGGTCTCACCCTACATTCTAGGAATCCAGGTAACCCAAGAGGTATCAAAAGCCCTTCTGGAAGGGAACTGCTGCCGATTTCTACGGGTTTTCTTTTTTAAAGAAACAATTCACTTGCAAACATTTTGGGATACCTGCAGGTCCTTAACTACAACAGCTTTGCAAATCCATACATCCCGTGAAGGCCCCCAGAAGGCTAATAACCCCAACAATGAATTTTAAACCCCCAGGTGAGGTGGGGGGTGTCTCAGTCCAGCCTGGAAGCCCCCAAGGGATGGGTTCTATAATAGGAAAGCTGCACTCTGCATGTGCTCAGAGGAAGTCTTGTCAGGACTCGAAGCAGTCCAGCACTCCTGCGGATGTAAACACGTTCTGGGGCTGAGCAGGCAGTGCTCCCTGTAAGCTGAGTTAGTGTGAGCTAGCTCACCGTTTTTTAGCCTCCGGCTCACACATTTTTGTCTCCGCTCCGGAAGGATGGCTCCAGAGCAAACTAATTTATGCAGCGGCCAAATCGCTCGCTCACAACTTTAACGCCAGCAGCTCACCAAGTAGAATTTTTGCTCACAAGACTCCACAGCTTAGAGGGAGCCTTGGCAGGCGCCCGTTTGCCCGTGGCAGCCGCTCGGCCGGTCTGCGCGCAGTTTGTCAAATATTTGGACTTGCTATCAGACACGCAGCCCGTAAGCCTCGCGAATGTTCTGTTCTCTGCAAAACAAGCTCGGGGAAATCCACAGCAGAAGTTCTCTCTGTTTGTTCCTTGGCTTGAAAACAAGCTCTCTTTCCCCCCCCTTCCCCGGGCCGAGGGGGGGGGGCTACTGTCACCCTGCTGGAAGGGCGGTGGGGAGGGGGAGCGTTGCTGCCGTTCCTCATTGGCTGCACATGCTCAGAGGCACTCTTGTTGCCCAGAGGTGGCATGCCAAACCAGCTGCGCCCCTACCCTCCCGCTCCCGGGTGCCTCCTCGGCTGGCCACTGGAGAGGTCCCAGCCCCGTCCGCCTTCCGGGCCAGCTTCCGACCTGAGACCCACGCCCCCACCCCACCCCACCCCACCCCACCCCGTCCGGCATGCAAAACCTCCCAGCTCCTAGAGGAGGGGGAAAGTGCCTGGCGCCCCGGCGGCGGTACCCACCTGCTGACTGCCAACTCCTCCACGGGGCCACCTGTTGCCGCCTCCTCCTCCTTGCTCCGGCCGGCACTGAAGGGCCCGAGGAGCGGCGCTCGCCTTTTATAGCCGCCCGCCTGGCCCCGTTCATTCATCGCCGCCGCCAGGAGACACCTCCCCGGCAGAAGC